TTTTCTTTATATTCAACAGTAAGCCTGCCTTTGCACTTTCTTCTTTGAGCTTCCTTAATAGTTGTTCGAGGTCTGTTGTGTTTTCTGCTAATATTATGGGGTCATCAGCATTTCTGCTAATATTATGGGGTCATCAGCATATCTCACATTGTTGATATTCCTTCCTCCTATTTTTGCTCCTCCTTCTGTGTCCAAGCCTGCTTTCCTTGCAATATATTCTGCATATAAGTTGAACAGGTAGGGTGATAAGACACAGCCTTGTCTGACCAAACCACAATACGCCACAGTTACTGTGTGATGTTAATGTGCCATGCCACCTGGTGTTCCAGTCAAGAAATGCAAAGGTTCGGGAGTGATTGACAAGCTCCTGCACACCTGACCCATGTTAAAAATGATTCACATTGATTTTAAATGATGAACAACTTTAAACCAGGGGTGGGGAAAATGTGGCCTGTGGCCTCCAGGTTTGTGGCCATAAGGCCTCCACCAGTTTTCCAAAGTCCCTTCAAAGTAAATCCCCATTTTAAAAAAATTGGGCAATTTTGGGGTGAAAAGTGCCCAAAAATCTCATTCAAAGCCATCAAATGTGTAAAACTCAAATTCCCCCAGGCCCTCTCAAATGCCTTCTTTCTTCTCCATTTCCCCTCCAAAATGGCAATGGAAAGTGGTAGGATGTTACTTCTTATTATCATTTTGAAAGAGAAATTGAGGGGAAAGAAGATATTTAGATGCACACAGTTGTCCACCCTTGCTTCAAACATGCTATAGATCAGGGTATTAAGATCTGCAGGCTGAATTCTGTTCATACTTTTAAGTACCATTTAATTCAGGGGTAGGCAACGTTTCCCCTTTAAGGGCCGAGGGACTTCAGCTCCCAGAAGCCTCAGCCATGTTGGCCAATAGTCCCATGTTGGCCAATAGCTCCTGGGATTCTGGGAGCTGAAGTCCCTCGGCCCTTAAAGGGGAAAGGTTGCCTACCCCTGATTTAATCAGTGGGCTTTACCTCTGTGTTGACTCCCCATTCAACAGTTGATTCAATGAGACTGATACAATTGGAACTACCAGTGGGATTCAGGCCTTGGTCTTTTTACATTGCAATATAGTGTGAGACCCACCTTTGGCTCTTTGCTCTGTACTGGAAGCAAATTTTCTATCTAAAAACTCATGGTGAGCATGGCCATGGATTCCTCTATTGCTCTTGAAAGATGTTTTTTCAAGGTGGGTAGATGTAGGACCAGAAGCTATTTGGAAATCATCAGGTCTGGATCTGGGCTCTGTTGTACTGGAAGCATCTGTGACTGAGGAAGTTGTTGTTGTTGTTGTTGTTGTTGTTGTTTCCACAGCAGTCAATCAAACCTGAAGGTGAACCTTTAGAGGAAACGGGGGAGCAGCTTCCTATCCTTGCTGACATGATCCTTTATTACTGTCGCTTTGCTACCCACCCGGTATTACTGCAGGTCTATCAGGCAGAGGTGAGTTTTGTTTAAAGTTGTTGTTTCCTGCATTTTGGGATTAGCAAACCAGTGCAAGCTGGGCCACTAAGAAATGGTCCACCATCTTCACTGGATAATTAACTTGTTTGATGACCAAATATGTAATTGGCAACAGAGTGGAAGCTGTTCTCCAACATTGCCCCCTCCTCCAAGTTTAGTAATTAACAAAACATAGGGCTATGCAACCACAAACAAATCCCAAATTTAATTGGTACAATTTGGATCAAATCCAAATCATGTAGGATCAGCCTAATTCAGATAAGGCACCGATTGATTTGGACAGTCCTGGATAAAAATTGATGTGTGTGTGCTTTGACAAAGCCAGACAAATGCCTCCAGGAACATTATATATGGGAAACACCATGATGGGGTTATGAGGAGAGAGGGAAGACCTCTCGATTTAGGTCTAGGTCAGAACTGCACCGGCACTTTCCAGTCATAGTGCTTATGAGGAGGGAATAGTTGAGGTTTCTGGACTGTTTGCATTCAATTCTTGACATCAAGTGCAGAATTCAGCATTAACAGGGAAGACTGTGCAGGGACTGTACTTCAGCTTTTTTTGGGGGGGGGCTCAAACCTTCCTTTATTGTTGTTGTGTGCCTTCAAGTTGTTTCTGACTCAGAGCAACCCAAAGATGAACCTATAATAGGGTTTTCTTGGCAACATTTGTTCAGAGAGGGTTTGCCTTTGTCTTCTTCTGAGGCAGAGTGCAACTTCCCCACTGCCACTTCTGAGGCAGAGTGCAACACATTCAAACCCCGGTCTCGAAAGTTTAATCCAGTGCTGTAACCACTACACCATACTGGTTCTCAATCCTTATTTTGGGTTAGCAGAAAGACTTCTGAAGCCACCAGCCTGCAATTTGGCAGGAATCTTCTGCTCAGAAGTGGGTACTGTGTTCCCAAATTTCATGTACTTGCATAGGAAGGGAAGGGAAGGGAAGAAAAGATAAAAGATGTAGGCATTTTAATTTTCCAATGTAAGTTAGTGGCTGGGGCAGAGTGGGAATGGGGAAATAAAGATTTCTGAATTTGAATTTGGGATTTGAATTGCATCAGATTGATTCTGAATCAATCTAAACTGAATTGAAGCCAAATTTGACTCATTTGAATCAGGCTCCAAACTAAATCTGGGGATATTTGCAGATCACTACTAAAAATGTTGCTGGTGTCTTAAAGAAGGCAAACAATAAAAAAGCAATTTTCTGCCATTAGAGAAGCTACAAACAAGTTTCAGAGACATAGCCATGTTAGTCTGGAATATCAGTATGCAAAGAGATCTTGTAGAACATTTGAGACTAACTGAGCATTAGCAGTAGCATTTACATTTTTCTACCACTTCATACTGAACTAAGTAGTCTCTACAACATGTAAGCTAATTGCCCCCAACAAGCTAGGTACTCATTTTAGCAACCTACGGAGGGATGCAAGGCTGAGTCAACCCTGGAGCCCTGGGATTGAACTCCCAACCTTGTGGCTGCAATCCTGGCTGCAGTACTGGCATTTAACCACTGCGCCATCAGGGCTCCTTGAGCGAAAGATGTTGTAGCATAAGTTTTCATAGATTTGCTCTACTTCCTCAGATGCATCTTTGAAAGTTTATGCTACAACATGTCTCATTCCCTTAGCATACAGTTAAGATGTCATGGTCAAGTTATGGTTTGGGCGTCAGGCTCATTCACTTCAATTCTATCTCCCTTGCTTTATGCAATCCATAGCTTTAGTGGTTTGCTGTGACAATTTTGGCTCTTCTGACTCAAACACAGTGGATACTGAGAACCAGGAATCAGGGGAGGAGTATGTGCCAGAGAGATGGGAATCATGCAGCCCTGCAGATGTTGGACTGCAGACTCCCAACTTTCCTTATCATGAACTAAGATAGCTGGGATTAATAGGAGGTATGATCACAACTTGTGGAGGGCTGCATGATTCCTGGCATGTGTTAGATGCATTCTCCTTCACTTCACAGTTCACAATTTCTAGTCAAAGGCATGGCCCTGATGGGCTGTATCATTAACACCAGCAGCTGCCTGACAGTCTTCTCCCCTATGCATCTGGCTCCTATGCATCCAGAGACTGCTGTTCACTTGCAATTCCACTGTTGCTTTTCTTCTTGCTGCCTTTAAATAGCATAAACAACTACTTTACCAGAAAATGAATCTGAGCATTTCTGTTCTTTTTCACTGTGATGCTCTGTGAGTGAGAACTAGGGAGGAGTTTTTCAAAAATGTGTATCAGTACTCTGCAAATTAGATTCTCATTTACATGTCCTAATTATTAAATAGCTTTTAAAAAGAGAGAGAGAGAGAGAGAAACACAAGGCTGCTGATGTAGAGTTTTTGCATATCTTGAATTCCAGGGCAACATTAAAATGATCTCTTACTTACCTGTATTATTGTCCAGCTCACCTTTACTGGGGGAGAGACAAGGACTGAGATCTTCATTCACTCCTTAGAGCTGGGCCATTCAGCAGCCACACGAGCTATCAAAGCTTCAGGTAGGTCCTAAAGGAGATTCTTTCTTTGTTCATTTGCACTCATATTTGTGACTGTAGG